GTTTATAGCAAATTGGAAAATCTTACAATTTAAAATCAGACAGAAGTCAGGGTCAGCAATTCACCTCTCCTACTTGTTACTCAGGAGAGTTATTTAACTTTTGACTTAACGTATTTTCAAGTGTGGTATGCAAACACCAGTATCACTTCTCATATGGGTGTAAACCTAGAAATTAGAAGGCCTGGGGCCTTATGATTTGCAGTGAATTACATGAATTCTTAACAACATCTCTCTTTCCTTACCATTCGGATAATTAACTTTGTATTGTACACATCTCAGCATGGTTGTGAGCTATAACAAAAAAAGAGATTGCTTTGAAAATTATAAAACTTTATACATATCTCTGACTACCAATCATTTTCATTTTAGTTTTATTCATATGCATTACAGACTTTTCCTTGAAAGCTTTTTCTCTCATCTCTCCTCTTCTGTCTTTCATACATCAGCAAGCGCCTCAACCCAGACCATGTACAAAAGGCAGGAAAAGGTAAACACGTGTGTGAAGTGGCAGATCACCTCTTCAAACACATAGTAACCCAGAGTCCATTTATGGCCTCGAAGAATCACTATTGATTATAAGAAAGTGCTTTTCTCTGGAGTTGTTGCCAACTACCTCCAATGACATTTTTTGCATCTTCCTATTTTGACTGCCATAGATTTTTTTCCTCAGAAAGTCTTTCACCTTCCTATTTCTGATTCTTATGACCTCCTTTGCTTTCATTTTAAGTCTAATATCGAAACTCTGATTTGATTGAGCAAATTGCTTAAGGGTATAGTCAGTATAAGGTGCTTTGTTTTTAACATTATCTGATAAACTCAGGGGCCCTGTGTTCAAGACCATGGCCCCAAGAGACGGGAGAAACAGGGATCCCTGAATTCATGACATTGATGAGCAAAAGCAAACCTTTATCATATTAAGGTGTTGAAATGTATGAGTTTTCATTTCATGTTCTTCATTTTCACTCTGAATACTAAGTTTATACTATCAGCTCTAAATCTGTTCTTCTAAATTCCGTTGGAAGGTGTTAGACCTACACACCTTTCAACCAGATTTCTCCCTTTCCATCTACCTCTTGGGCAGGTGGTGCCGATGCTAGTGCTACAGGAAGCTAGATGACAGGGGGAGAGAGAGAGGATTCACTTCTTACTGACCCTCAGTTTCTCTGAGCATCATCCCAATGAGGTTTCTCTAAATCAGCAGTAAAATGTGGGCCCAGTTTCTAAGTTTGTTTGTTTGTTTGACTCTCCTTGAATCATCTTTATTGCCCCTCCCACTTGAATATATAAGGATTGAGAAGTGCATCATCCCCTTCAGCAATCTGGGTCCTCGATCCTCAGAGTCCCTCTTCTGAACCACAGTGTGTCCTGCAGCAGTGGAGAAGCATCCCTCCTAAGTCTGAGGTGCAGTTCTGCGGGGCCCCTCCTCAGCTGCTTAGGTTCCAGTTAACTCCAGCCTCCTCCCTGTGCTATTCCTCTGTATGGTGGTTGTTGCTTCTTGCCATTTCTAAACTTGTGTAGACCTTCCTGATTTTTTCGGTGTTCCAGCAGCAGATTAAATAATTGTCCAAGTTATATTCTCTGTTAAAATTATTGGTTTCTGCTTTCCTGATAGTACCTTAACTTTTGTAACTATTCCAATACAGATACTGGTAGCGGAAGAAAGCCTGTGCTATCATAACAAAATCTAAACCATGCAGCATTTGCTTAATGGTTGGGCAATGGGTAGCAAGGAAACAAATTTCATCAGGAGAAAGCCCTACCTGCACAGTATTTTGACAAAACTCTGAGCAAAGCTGCTGTTTCAATAAGCCTGAGTGGCAGACAGTGGGACTGCTGGGCTGGCGAAAGTCAAAATAGATGGAAAACAAAACAATAATGCATGTTGACTATTACTGGCTACACTGTGCAAGGTATTATAAAAGAAATATGAGCTCAGAAATGAATTAGCTAGTGAAAATATAATAGGTTCCTAACCAGGAATAGACCGAAATCAGACATTTCAGAGCTTATTGGACAAAACATCTGGCTTCTTCTAAACCCCAAACAGTGGGACATGGCATTGACATAAGTATTGAGTAACAAACATCCAATAAAAATTTACATTTGAATAAAGTGACTCAAGGCAAATATGAGATTTAGAACTGAAGTAAAACTTCTCATTTGAACAAAGTATCTCTGGTAAACATCAGGTTAAGTAGGGGGTGGGGGAATTGAGCAAAAAGGAAAAAGGACTCATGGACATGGACAACAGCGTGGTCACTGCTGGGGGCTGGGGAACATAGGGGACTGAATGGTAATGGGGAAAGACAACAAAGATTAAATTTTTAAAAAATGTGCTCCACCTTCCTATTTTTCAAGAAAATATTATCTTGAGAGAGAAATATGGGAGAAGAGGAATCGGGGCATCCAAGAAAGAATTCACTCAGGCACATGACTGTCAGGAGGCAAATAGATCACAACCCCATGAATATTTCAGAGGACTGGAGTAGTAAAATACCGCGATCCCAGAAATATGACTCTTGAAATATTTAAGACTTACAACAATTCTTGGTCCCATAATTTCACCCAAACAGAGAAAAAGTATTTCAGGCTACACAGCCTCCAATAGGCACTTCACATGTGAACAAGCAGAACAATAGAAAAGGAAGGACTTCCCAGGGGGCGTTCCTAGAGGCTAGGGGAAACCGTGTACAAGGGAGATGGACCAAGCCTACTCAGGGATCCTCCCTGGCCTCTTGTTTAGGGAGGCTTTATAAAATGCCCATTCAGTAGGACTTCACCTCTGATTTCCATGTGTTTCCGATTCTTTCTCTTCCCAAGCATGAGTGTTTATTGTGGTTTTCCTCTTCCTACTCCTTATCAGTATATTGAGTATAAATGTGTGGTGGGAACTGGTTCCAAAATACAGGTAATTTAGTCATAGGTGATTCTCCACCACAGGCTTGAGCTGAATCCAGGGACTGAAAGAATGTTTAATGATCTCTCTTGGGATGTAATAACCCTCTTTCATGAGAGGGTAGAAACATGGCATGAATATTTGGCAACTGAAAAGATGGACTGTGGAGAAAAATGGACTAGATGCTCAACTAATTCCATCTGCTTTTCCTGGTCATACAGCTGCCTAACATTTACCAGCCTCTCTTACAGTTCAGATGCGGCCATCAGACTAGGTTCTGTCCAATGGACAGATGTCCACATATTCAAGGCTGCTCCATAATAGTCCATGCACAACGGCCCATGCAGTCCCTAGCTTGTCCTCAGTGAGCTATGAGGCCATGTGTATAAGATGGCAGCATCAAAAGATGAAAAGATTCTGTATCTTTGAATCATTTAACAGTGAAACATCAAGGAGAGCACCTGACCTATGACATGAGAAAGAAATATTTGATTTTTCTATGTTGAAACTGAGTTTTTGAGGTTATGTTACAGTGGCTGAAGTTTATCCTCCAACAAAGCATTAACTTTTAACAGATTGATTACTGGATCTAATTAAATTGAGAACTTGGTGTCTCTTTCTTTCTATTAAAAGTGTTTGAATGGGAAGAAAGTATCATCAAGAAAGTGAGATAATATCGTATCGTAGAAAAAGCCTTGGCTTGGGAAGCCTACCTAGCCTCAAGTAATCCTTTCATCATTTACTAGCTAAGGGACACTTGTGAAGTCAATTAGTTTCTCTGGGCCACAGTCTTTACACATCTGTAAAATGAAGCTAATATTAGGTTACCCAATTACAAGAGAAAGCCAAGCCAAATGTTTGCTTAAGGTTTTTAATGGTTTTGATCTCTGACTCTATGAAATAGGAATTAAGCACTAAAGCCACTTTAATGAAAGCACTGAAGTCTTTTTTTATTTTTAAATTTTTAGCTACTGCATGATACCTGACAAAGTCCAGCTTCATGAATAAATAACGTGTAACACGTGTTTCAATGGTGCTAACACATTCCAAGCAGTTATACTTAAAAGAATGAGATGACACAGAGTGGATGATAATTTCAAAGAATCTATTCCCTAGAACTTTGACCATCCAATTGCTTTGCACACATTTCTCCACCCCCTCAGCCCCCTGAGATGATGAAATTAAGCAAGACTTCCGCAACCATGTTTTGTCAACGGAAGCCTGCCCCTTGAGATGGTTTCTCTTATATTCATTTAAAGTTTGCTCAAGATAATTATTTCTGTGCAAAATAACAAATTATCAAATGACTCAACATTAAAAACAAATCTAAAATCTTTGCTCATATTTAATTATATGTTCATCAACTAATAAATTAGGCTAATGAAAACACTTATTTTTATAACAGGTAAAACAATAACTAAAACTTTTCTAATATGTTGAAATAAAACTTACAGACTAAATGGAATTTTTCTTCTTTAAATAAAAATAAAGAATGTTGCAGCAAAAATCTAAACAAACAGCATATAAAACCCCTTTTGCTAATGAGTTTTCTTTTCCTAATCGCTGCAAAATAATGGCCATTTGAAGCTGAGCGCTTAAGCATAAAGCAGATAACTAAACATAAAGGACTATAGTATTGAATTGTTTTCAAATCACTTTTGTGATTAATTTATAATTTCATATAAAATAATAATTTTGAATCCCTTTTTCAGACATTTTATAATGTCTATGTGATTCTGATAAAATATGTGATTCTGATTTTTCATTGTTTTGGGGTAACTTCACTTGTTTTGCTCCATTGATTCCATTACACAAGTATAGGATACAAGATGTATACTAAATATCTAACATCCATGACATAAAGGAAGGATACAAAAGTAGAAAGAAAAAAAACTGTTTAATCTGAATTAAACATGATTATTATATGACACTGATATTTCTATTAGTATCCATTAACTAAACAATCCATGGGAACAATATAACACGAATGCAAATACTATTGTAAACAAGAACAACGTGTTCTTAGAAAGTTGGCCCTCTCCCCATTCCCTCAGTACCCATTTACACAAGAGCTATTTGGAGGTAAAAATAACTTTTCACTCACCAATGTGGAGGTTTGTGAGGCATCAGCCAAATCCCCTGAGATCTCAGGTGTTCGGGTGTTGTTGGGAATTCTGTGAGGGTTACGGGCTATCGCTTCACACCAGCCCAGCATTTTCTCCTTCCTCTTATCCCTTTTCAATTTCTGAAATTCTGAAAATAATTTACATTCCCTGAAACAGGTCACTTATTTTAGTTGTCTATTTTTGGAAAATGTACATAATTTAAATTAAATAAGCAATTTAATGAAATACCAGTGGAGACATTATGTTTTAACCAGAGGATATAGGGAAGAATAGAATATGCCAATTATTAAAAATATCCCAGAACCACAGAGGAATGAAAACAGTATACATCTATTCAATGAGCTTAATGGGTTTACTCCAATTTATGACCCCTCTAGACTGTGGGAATTTCTTGCACCAGGTTCTAAGTATTATCTTCAGGAATCAGTTTATAACATGTTCTTAACTTGGGAGCTAAGAACAGACCCAGTTCCTGATATAGCTCCTATTCAATGACATCTGACATTTGACACAGATTTTCAGCTGGATGGCCTACAAATGCAGAATACTCTGAACACAGGCCAGTGACAAAGATTACTCATTCCAGCAATGTATGCTTATCTACCTTGTAAAGTTCTTCCAACAAAAGAAGAAAAAATTTTAGTGCAAACATGGTGAACTTAGTATATGACATCAATTACCAGTACAGTTTAAAAGATAATAATTTTAAAAATCTCCTTGCTATTTCATGAGTACAAATATTCCACAACTCTTTCTAGCTTTCTAGAACTTCCCATTTGGGGAAAATTTTTTTGGAGTTTGAAAAAGTGTATCAGCAATGACTTTTAACATAATGGAGAAAACATTCTTTCCCTTGTAAAGTTTTACAGCCTACTTTTCCACTCCACCACCCTCAGTAATTAGAAATAGTTTATTGCAGGTCTTTAGTTAAATGTATTACACTGTCAATTAAATATCAAAAATAATGTGGAGTAATTATTTTTCACAGCATCAAAAGCAATTAGCAATCTGGTGGTTTATAACATTTCAGGGATTCATAATAGTGCATTTCATAGCACTAAGAAAAGTAACATAAAGAAAGGTTGCACTAACAGATTGATGAGTTATTACTCTAAATGACAAAATATTCAAGTTAAATGGATCTGAACAATGTAAATAGGGAAGTTATAAAAATTAATAAAAATTAAGTCTAAGATATTCAATGGAATGGATTTCTTAATAAGGCTGGTGATCAGAGTAAATCATTCATTTCTGGTATAGGGAAATGTTGAGGGACCTTGAAAACAATTGTTTAAATGAGCAACAAGTTATTAATGCTTGCCCTTTCAAACACATTGCTTGAGATTTTATTGAAAATTCTTATCTGTTATACAAAATCTGTAAATGCAGCTAATTTGCCCTCCACAAAAAGTAAATATTTCTGCATTCCCTGACACAGTATCTTGGTTACCCATCAGCTTTAAATTACATTTCTTGAAGTGTGCTAAGAGTAGATGAAAATTAGTATCTTTATTCAAAAGCAAGAAATCATTATGCTATGATTCATTATGACCAAAACAGTATAATCAAGTATAAACAAACATTCTACTTGTAAATCATTTGCCACTAATTCTCTGAAAATTTTAAATTTATAATTAAATAGCACTTTCATACTTATAATAAAATGTTGAATTCATGCATGAATAAAAAGCATAATAAAGTAGCCCACAAAATGATATCAGTACCCATTCTGGGATATGTTTTTAAAACCTGCTAACTTCTTATTTCCCATTCAGTGTCAGAGATTAAATAAAACAGTTTCATTTCACTCAGAGCATGCTTTCATGGTGATGGCAGTGGCCACAGCCATGTTCTTCCCAATTCAGCCAACATTAATCCATAAGGGTTTATTGAGCCCCTAGTATATTACAGGCACTGAACAAGGCATGGAAGAGTCACAAGGTGAGGATTACTTTTGTTTTTGATTTGAGTTAAATTCATTGCAATATGCTAGACAATTTCAAAATTCAAGAATAACTAAGATCTTTCGGATCCACCAAATTTTAGATTTGTAAACTTAAATTTGTTAAACTCCACGGTGATTTCCAGCTCCTCTTGATCTTAGATGTCTTCCCTGAAGTTGACTTGTGCAAATCATCCTTTTGAGTTGTTTTGATGAATTGCTAACATGTCATCATGACAGAGCTAGTAAACTTCTGATTGCAATTGCTGAAGTAGTATAATAAAATGTCAACTGCATTGTAGTTTTGTTTTGCATGTAAGAGTTATTATCTTAATTCTAAAGTGATTAGGTAGGCTCAATAATTCAATAAGATAAATACAAACTTTTTTTAACCTAAACAATGTGTTCATAACCATCTTGAAATGTTCACCCTGGCCACTGTACTACTGTTCCCTATTGTAGGAAAACAGAAACAAAACATGATACAAGGCTATGGAAGTCTGGAAAGCTTATAATTGAACATGTACATATTCATGGGAATATTTACAAAGAAATTGAATTTGTGAAATGACAAGTGGAATCTCACCACAAGCTTTACTTTAGCTTTTAATTATATGAGTGAAGACTATATGAGAATGTGTTGGGGACTGCCCTGCCTGGTCTCAGGAAGCTGTAACCACCACCCCCCCCCCATGACGTAGGCTGAGTGACAGACCTCCGGACCAGGAGCCACTAAGGAGACAAAACTTATTTCCCTGACATGAACGCTGCCTGTTCTGTGCCTGGCCTCCTAGGCTTGATCAGTTAGACAATGACGGGTAAGATTTCCCACGGGGGGGAATCGCCTAAGACAGGCACAATGATGTGGAGCCCTCAGGGTAGAGACTCAGGGCTATGGAAATGAAGGGGTAATAGACATCAACCCCTGCCCCCTTGGCTTTGTCAAAGCCTGAGTCCTTGTTCTTAGGTGTGAGAAATCCTAGTCTCCTGGCTGCCTTTGTCTCCTCTGCCCAACTGAGGCCTGTGGAAATAGCAGGGGCGGTGCAGTCCAGACCAGAGACGGCAGACCCCTGGGGTAATCAGGCCTGGGACATAGAATATGCAAGATCCTGTGAGATCTGTTTGCTGGAGGATGTTATTAGATTAGAATTTGAAGACACAGACAAGAAATCAAAACTACCCTTTGAGCCCTGTAGTCCTTTCAAATGATAAAACTCCAAACTTTGCCCAGAATCACAGCAGGGGTTCTGTCTACACCTTTGAAAGTCACCTATTTCTTTTGATCTTTTCTACCAGACTGTGAATCCACAAACTAAGTCTGTATTCTTAATAAAAACCTGCTTGGGAATGGAAACGGGACGTTCTCCACTAGAGAAAGTGGCCATTCTGTCCCTACTTCGCCACAGGACCTGGTTGTCTCTGTGTATGTTTTTCTCGTGTTTTGATGAGCCATCCACAGCATTCTGTGATCACTGCAGGCTGGTGAGCACACGTCAAGAATGTAGAAATGGCCTACGATGGTTACAATGCTACATCTGGACATTTGCATCATGTTGTAAGAGGAATTTTGTCTAATGACTTACTCTATGTAATATTTAGCCACTAACATTACCAGTTATCTTAGAATCAAAGAATTATATCAGGAAGAAACCAACGTTTAAATGGCCTCAAAAGAATTAGCATTGGTGCAGGAAAGTTGAAACAGAGAGAGGTGGGGGGAAAAGTGAAATTTACCACCTCGTCCCATAAATTCTTGAGGGTAAGACACTGTGATAGTTGCTTGCTCAAGACAATGTCTCCTTTTCTGTTATCACAAAACACTCAGCCTTTAGGTCACACTTAAAATAAATCTTTTTTTGCACCACTGATGATAGAGAGCCTTGTAGTAGTTGAGGTGATCTGAGCTAACTGAAGAGTTAACGATGTTGATCACTGAGCCTCTGCAGACCAGCATCCTTCCCACACAGGTCTAAAGTACTCGGCGTATTCTTAGGTGTAAGAAGGCACTGTCAGTCAGAAGGGTAGGCAAATTATGAGCATTTATAATTAACCCTAAAGCACTTTAAACTGCAAGTATCATTAGTATTATATCAGAATAAGAACGTGGTCATTAAGCATTCATGTTAATTGCTATCTAATCATTGAACCAAGCTAATATGAGATGCAGCAATGAGCAACTTATTTAATGATCACGGGAAATTGAGATTTAACTAAGCTTAATTTTTAATATGCTACTTCAAGCAGATATTTAATTCAATAAATAGGAGCACAGTCCATTCTCTGTGAACTAAAATGACAACAAATTAAAATTAGGAAGAGAAAAATTACGAGGCAATTGGGTATATCTCATGGAGAATAATTTACTCTTAATTCGGGAACCATGTTCTAAACACTGCCTTTGTGCCAGCCTCTGTGCCTGAAAGTATTAGTAAAGGCAGTAAAGAGATTCAGATTCAGACTTAACATGACAAGCGGACCAACCAACTTTTGACAGTGTGATGAGTTCTATGAAAACTTTGAGAAAAGACATTTGATTTAGCATCAGCTGAAGAAGAAGGTTGATTTTGGATGACTCTCCAAAGAAAATGAAATTACAAATAATTTACATGAGAATTACAATTTTTGCTATTCCAAAGGCGGGAGCCACCGCCAGCTGTGTACACAACTCCAGGGGACATCATTCACATTGTAATCTATGTAAATAGCACTGGACTCCAAGGGTTGCTCTTTGAGTAAAACACTACCGTGAGGGGTGTGCCTGGAGTCGTGCAATGGGGCAGGAGGAAAGCCCAACTGATTTTTCCAAGTGAAGCTTATTACACTTATTGTACCCAAGCCTAATGTAATTTAATCTTAAAATTAAAAACTCTTTTCACTGCAGGAAAAAAAATGCAGCTGCTTGCCTCAACTTTGCCTTCCACCTCCTCAAGTATTTTCTTCTGAAAATTTTCCCAATCTGTGTCATATCCGGTAAAGTAGTGGTAAGGGCCTGGCCAGCTGCCGTCCCCCTTCACCACACACACGTACCTGAGAAAGTCCCCACCACCACCTCCATGCACACAGATAGTCATCCTCAGATCTGAGCCTTCAGAATAGTCCTTGTCCAAACATTTGAAATGATTTTTCACTTGAAAACTTGAGAAATTTGGCTGTATATTTTTTTAGCTTTGTGTCATTAAGAAATG